GGTAAGCTAAATTGTCCATAATGTATGAGTGTGAATGAGTGTGTATGGGTTTCCCCATTGATGGGTTGCGGCTGGAAGGGCATCCGCTGTGTAAAAATGTGCTGGATAAGTTGGCGGTTCATTCCGCTGTTGCGACCCCAGATTAATAAAGGGACTAAGTCGAAAAGAAAATGAATGAATGAATGAAATTTACATTATTAACGATTGTAATTACACATATGTAGTTCATTTTTAGAGAACCTGGTAACTTAAATATATTAACTTAAATAATAAATGAAATAATATAACTTTAAAAAAATAATCATACTAGCTGGGTCTTGAATTATAAACGAACCAGTGATTCCAACCAGCCGCTAAAAGAGATGGTGTCCGTTTAGTGTCCTTTTTTTTTTTACCAGAGACTGTATAAATAGGTTTTAACCTGATTAACATCATGTGTGGTTAATTCATTCTGCTGTGGTGACCCCTGATTAATAAAGGGAAAGCCAGAAAAAAATGAATGAATGAATGAATGAATGAATGAATGAATGAATGAATGAATGAATGAATGAATGAATGAACAATATGTTCGTTTTATTTTGTAACAGGCGTTTGTCATGCAAGGAGGACTTGAACTAACGTTGACGTTAAAAGGTCAAGCCCTAAAAATGTATATCACATAGGCTACATGTTATTTAGATTTATTATCATTTATGATGTAATAGTTTATACTTGTATTAAAATATTCTCATTTGGTTTGTAAAATGTGTTTTTTACTAACAGATTTAACATTTGTGAAATTTTGAGTTTTTCTGTTACAGTTTTGACCAGCAGGCGACCCCACAGAGTAGCACTTTAGGTGCTTTAGATTATTTTTGCCAATTAACTGAACTCAGAGTTTTGAGAAAGCGTTATTTTTCCCATTACTTTCGTACATGACTCAAAAAGTGAGCTTACCGTGGTATTTTGAGGAGAAAAAGATCTCATTTGGATTTTTCCACACATAAATTTAACTCTTCCTCGTCGTCCAGCAACGTTCGTGGCAGTGACTGGATGAAATCAATCAGAGGGCGTGGCTTCTTATGAAGAACGTGTTTCCCTGACGTCTACTTAGGCTACGGTAGAAATTTCTCACTTTAGTGTTCTTCGCACTAATTAAATTTCACAAATTATTTGATGATGCTTCAACTTCGACCAGATTCTTGACTTTAAAACAATAAAAAAATTACATCTTCACGAGCATAATAATATAATAATAATAATAGTTGTTGTTGTTTCATTAGCCACTTGGTGTGCTTACTACACTGACGGCTGATTTAAGAGGCTTAGTTGAATTGGAATTCCTCTTTGCGCGGTCTCTGTACTGTTTATCTCTTATCAAAGTGTATTAAAAATCAGGATGAATGAATGTGAAGCCAGCACTGCGTTTTGTCCAGGAATTGTCAATCTTTGACTGCCACCTTGTGGTGCAAACACATAGTGGCAACAGCATGTGCAAGATTTAGCAGTGTTGTGCTGTTATTTTCGTTCATTTTAATTCTACTTATATACCAGGTTTCTGATTGCATGATGTAAGGAAGACATATTTTCTTTCCACTGGATAGTGTCTTGGATGAGGAAGACCTTTAATGAAGCTTCCTCTACTGATTGGCAAACAAGTAATCTATGAATGTATTATTAATAAAGTGAGTTGCTAAATAATGCACTGATTATAAAAAAGTAATGCGTCCTCATAATTTTTGGCTCTGCTTAAACTGATTCATGTTCATGTCGATGACTGAACACCCTGCAAATCACAATAAGCAACTTGTGAAAATATATATAGGCCTAAACTATCATTTATTATTCTGCAGGCTTTGTAATACTTTTAATGTAATTGGATATTATGTAGGTCTCGAACTGGATTCCTGGAGGGCCGCAGCATTGCTCCAACCCTAATCAAACACAGCTGTGACTAAGCAAGGTGTTCAAGACTACTATAGACACTATTAAGCGGGTGTGAGTTGGAGGTGGTTGGAGGTAAACTCTGTAACCCTTTGTGAGTTTGACACCATTGCGGTCTAGATTATCAAGACATTTTTTTTCTAGTGGCATCAAGGCTGGTCCTCCCTGAATCACTAAACCACCCAATTTGGCAGGAACCAAACATTAAGGGTAACGTTTAAAAGCTGCAGTACTTTTTCTGAATTCATTGCCAGTTATTGCACATTTCCAAATTTCTTTCAGTACATTTTTTTATTTCTCAGCAAGAAATTTGGACAAGCCGTTTTTCATAAAATGTTGGTTCTTTTTTTTTTTGTCTTGAACAAATACTTTAAATAATAATGTTATTTTCTGAGTATGCCAAAGTATGCTGACCTTGCAGTCTTCCAGGTCTCAACAATAGCTGAAAATTGTATTAAAAATGCCTCAAATATTCTTTTTCCCTCTCCTTTTGCACTCATTTCCATGCAGCTCTTTCGAAAAGTGCATGTGTCTGCTTTGAACAATATTAATAAGTAATTTCTCCACTAATAGTAATTTAAGCATATTCGGTTAAATTCTATTCTATTATATTCGGTTAAATCACTATTTTCAGGCATGTAAACAAAAACAATGGTTTCAACGTATTTCCTGTTTTACACTTTTAATTTTTATAGCTTATAGCTTCCAAAAAGAGTCACATATTAATAAATAATGTTATGATAGCTGTTTTAACATAAGGTTATGATTGAATTGCCCTATTACATTTTTTAAATAGTTTGATTAAAAGCAGGAAATGTTCATAGGCTAATGACATGACCACAATAAAATGGTCTATAATAGGGGTCACCAATCTCGATCCTGGAGGTCAGGTATCCCTGCAGGGTTTTAGCTCCAACTTGCCTCAACACACCTGCCTGGGTGTTTCAAGTATACCTAGTAAGACCTTGATTAGCTTGTTTAGGTTGTTCAGATTAGGGTTGGAGTTAAAATCTGCAGGACACCGGCCCTCCAGGAACAAGTTTGGTGACCCCTTGGTCTATAATAACAGTGTTTTATACTTGTCAAGTTTGTTTTACAAACTAGTTTTGAGAGGGTCACGTGCTATGATTTAACACGGCTGGTCTCACAAAGATAAACCAATCAGACAAATTCAAGCCTACATAAATAGCCCATTTTTCTTACCTCATCTTTGTTTTTGAAGAATCTCCCCATCCACCCCTTTTCCTCCTATACCAGGGGTCACCAAACTTGTTCCTGGAGGGCCGGTGTCTGGCAGATTTTAGCTCCAACCCTAATCAAACACACCTAAACAAGCTAATCAAGGTCTTACTAGGTGTACTTGAAACACCAAGGCAGGTTTGTTGAAGCAAATTGGAGCTAAACCCAGCAGGGACACTGGCCCTCCAGGACCGAGATTGGTGATCCCTGTCCTATACCAAGGATCTTGGGTCCCCTTCTATACTAAATGACCAGGCGAGAGCCCTGGGCTCAAGTACTGCCGACTCAGGGTTCTCTCCTGGGACAGCATGCCAAACCTGCAATCAGTATCAAGCATTAGCTAAGTGTGAACTCCTTAAAGTGCTTTTATGTTTTATGCTGCATGCCTTTTGTATCACCTTGGGACAATTGCGATATCAAATCTTATACTCAAAGATTTATTAGTCATATAGAATTTACCCATATGGCAGAACTCAAATCCAATGATTGACTTGTCATATTTTCAGGGTTCGCAAATTATAAGCTATAAACTCAAAAGCCACTTTATTAGGTACAACTAACTGGTGCCGGGTTGGACTCCCTTTTGCCTTTAGAACTGCCTTAATCCTATATTGCATAGATTCAACAAAGTACTGGAAATATTCCACAGAGATTTTGGTCCATAACATGACAGCATCACACAGTGTCTGCAGATTTGTTGGCTCCACATCCAAGATGCGAATCTCCCGTTCCACCACATCCCAAAGGTACTCTACTGGATTGAGATCTGGTGAATGTGGAGGCCATGTGAGTACAGTGAACTCATTGTCATGTTCAAGAAACCAGTCTGAGATGATTCATGCTTTCTGACATTGCTCGTTATGTTGCTGGAAGTAGCCATCAAAAGATGGGTATACTGTGGTCATATAGGGATGGACATGGTCAGCAACAGTTCTCAATTCACAATTCTGTCATTGACACGACACTCAATTAATACTAATGGGTCCAAAGTGTGGCAAGAAAATATTCCCCAAACCATTACACCACCACCAGCAGCCTGAACCATTGATAAAACTCAGGATGGATCCAGGATTTTATGTTGTTGATGCCAAATTCTGACCCGACCATCTGAATGTCACAGCAGAAATTGTGACTCATCAGACCAGGCAACATTTTCTAATCCTCTATTGTGCAATTTTTTGTGAGTTTTTGCAAATTGTAGTCTCAGTTTCCTTTTCTTAGCTGACTGGAGTGGCACCTGATGTGATTTTCTGAGGTAGTCAATCTGCCTCATGGTTTGACATGTTGTGCATTCAGAGATGCTCTTCTGCATACCTAAGTTGTAATGAGTGGTTATTTGAGTTACTGTTGCCTTTCTATCAGCTCAAACCAGTCTGGCCATTCTAAGCCAACATCAACAAGGCATTTGCCCCCACTGAACATTTTTTTCTTTTTCAGATCATTCTCTGTAAAGCCTAATGATGGTTGTGCATGAAAATCACAGTAGATCAGGAGTTTCTGAAATACTCAGACCAGCCTGTTTGACACCAAGAACCATGCCGCATTCAAAGTCGCTTAAATTTCCTATCTTCCCCATTCTGATGCTTGGTTAGAATTGCGACGATCATCTTGACCATGTCTTCATGTCTTAATGCATTAAATTGCTGCCATGTGATTGGCTGATTACAAATTTGCAATAACAAGCAGTTGGACCTAATAAAGTGGTCCAAACACACAATTTACTTTGTTTCCTGCATTCCCAATTACACAAGAAAAATACATGCACTTTAACCTTAACAACAATAAAACAGGTGGATAAACAAAATCACATTGTAGTCCAAAAAAAAAAAGACAGCTTCTTAAATATATCAATACTTTTATTGAGTGTCATTTTGGAGTGTCTGGGTACCAGACAAAAAACATTACAAAAACCTTTAACACGTCTCCTCTCTCCTTTCCTGTAGCTAATGACCGGGACCTAGACTGGAATATCTGTGCAATGTATTGAATATTGTTTTATTTTAAAAAAAAATTGTCCACGTAAAAAAAAAAATGATAGAGAAAGAAATTTGAAAACAATACTTAACTGAACATTCTGCACAAGGAAAATACAATTTCAAGCACAATGCAAGTTTGATAGTTCCCTCCTCATTGTAAAACAAAGTTGAAACAAAGTGTACGTGTCTGTATGCAGTGACGAGTCATTTTATGTCCATTTGCATTAGACAAACCTATTAGAATTCCCTACTATTCCTAACACGAAGGGCAAGACTAACCCAGTGGTCTGCGCATAGTTAACAATTCTGTAACAATTACAAATTTCCCGTTGGCCCAGGCCACCTCCCGCCATCGCTTGGAATCATTTTAGGTGGATGCCGAAGATGCTGGAGTAATGACATCAGTGCACTGCGGTTCACAGAACGGACCGAATCGTCCATACACATCTTTCGCCCTCACTGCAAAGTAATATGTGGAACCTGACACGAACTGGGTCAAGGTGCAGGCCATTGGAAGCGGCAGCGCCTTCACCTCCCCGATCTTCTTCCACAGCATCTGAGCTGAAGCACCTGAAACTGAGCTCTGGTGGTCCTGGTGATAGGCGTACAGGTGGTAGGTATCCACAGCGGCGCAGTTGCGGTCTGTTTCAGCAACACACCAGGAGAGGACGATGCCGTTTTGGCTCTGGACGCGTGCGAGTTTGAGCTGCGGCTGCTGTGGAGGGGATGTGTGGTTGGCTTCGGGTGGGAGGCGCGCCGGTGGTGATGGTGCCAGTGGTAGCGGAGGAAGAGAGGTGGAGGAAGAAGAGCTTGGACGGGATTGAGATGGAGAATCCTGAGAGACAAAAAAAAAAAAAAGATCACTATTAGAAGAGCACAGGAGCATTACTTCATTTCTTATTAGAAATAATAATACAGTAAAATAATGGACTCCTCTTAGAATATTTATATGGAAACACTTACCACAGTGGAACGTTGTGCCGATCGAACTCCTGTACCTGGGAAAAAGAGAAGCAAACACAAGTCAGCAATACATCTATGAAATAATATAGAGAATTACAGTCATTTTCAATGTTGAGCTTATTCTTCATGTACGAGCGGACACAACCATTGAAATCTATTTGGCTCAAGACTTCCGGTCTTAACTACCTGCATTAAATTTTAGACATTAAAGGTTCAAGACACCCTGGAGTACTTCTTTTGAAATTTGAACAGATTTGTGTTTTATGGATCAGTTAAGACAAATGTTAGCATTTGGCAGCTTTAATTGTGGGGAAAGTCAATAATTTCAACTTTTTGTCAGCTAATTTAATCTTTCGGGTGTAAATTAATTTAGGGACGGCTTCAAAATCAGTGACGTATCAAACAAAATCAACCTGCTAGTGACATGATGACGTGTCAGTTCCTCATTATTACTCAAAGCAGAGTTTTCTTATCCTATCCCTGCTTCGTAATTATTCATGACAGCATGTGCTTTCCAACGGCAAGGCAGACCTTTCAAGCTGTGAGACCCAATGACGGGGTGAGATCATGTCTGCTCACGGCATGGGTTGTATGTGTTTGTTTCCAGGAGGCTAGTTGCATGCATTTCCCCTGGATTCTGTCAGGTTTGCAGCAAGCATTTTTGTCAGGAGAGCTGGAGAAATGGCAGACTTTGTCTTTTATAAGTTGAGTTTATTACAATTCAGACGCAGCCTATATTACTGCTGCCATGTTTCCATGTTTAAAATCGGCATGGTTAATGGTCGGAGTAGACAGGGCAAGAGACCTGCTGCAATGCCATCCACTGTGTCTGCATTCAGACCTGCGGATTGAGGACAGAAGTCCCCCCCCCTCATTTTTATAGTGTTTACATAAACACGATTACCTTTACGATGAAATAACGAAATGTGGTTACGTGTATGTTAAATTACGTATAACAAATGTAGCAGGGCAATTAATTACTTACTTGGAGCTCCACGCCCATCTCTGAGCATTTTTTTTTAATTCTGAGGTAGACTTGAACTGAAAAAGGGGGTTTCATAACCCTTTAAAAACAGCTCATTCTACTGATTGATGTTGCAAACAGATTTTTTCTTATATTACTATACAGGGTGGGCCATTTATATGGATACACCTTAATAAAATGGGAATGGTTGGTGATATTGATGACCTGTTTGTGGCACATTAGTATATGTGAGGGGGCTCATGAAAGAATAAAAGTATGTTAAAACCAAGCACACCATTGTTTTTATTGTAAAATTCCCAATAAGTTTATTAAGGTGTATCCATATAAATGGCCCACCCTGTACTCTTGTACAGTCATCACTTGTTTGTAAAGTTTGACCGTTGTCTGTCATTTATTATTCATAGTCATTTTGCCCATAGTTCTAAAACAAAAATTGCACTTCCGCATTGTAGGATAAGGTCAATAAAAGGCCATTGTTTCCATTTAAAACATGCTGCAAACATACATAATGCAAATAATGCCTCGAAAGCAAAACATGCACATATTTGTATTGTATTGGTGTCAAATGTGCGGATGTCTGCACAGTGCATACTTATTTCCAATGCACCGATAGTTTCACTTTCGCTTTAAATAAGCCAAGGCTTTATTTTAAATGTTAGGCCTAACTGGAAGTCAATTCTAAATTATTCTGAATATATTTAGCTATTTATGCACCAAATCAGCACTAATGGCAGGCAAAAAGAAAGCAATCAAAACATGTGACAACAAATTAAAAAGTAAAAGGGGTAAAGCAAAAGAAAATGAAAAGGTCTACTTGAGCGAGACACTCACCGGTATTAGGAGTAGAGCTGACTAATGGAGGTGGCCCAGATGAACGCTGGGTAGTGACAGGGGAAACAGTAGCCTTTTGGACTCCTGTCACTGCAAAGCACCAACAAAAGGAGAAAAAGAGTTATGAAACATCTAAAAATACCAAGAGATTAAAAAAAACCTGTATAATTATGAGTAAATCAAAACAATACAACTATTAGTTCATTTAAACATTAAAATCATTTACTCAATGCACTGTTCAGCATCACTAGAAAAAACCCAGTCATTTCAAAGCTGCTCAGTTTCTCAATTGAGTGCAAATTATGGTTCTTCATATAATGCTAGCTAATTGACATTAAATTTCAGCAAATGTGAGAACACCTACAGAGAAATCAACAACAGTGGTTTTACCTTGAACATCATCATCATCTTCGGTCAGATCAATCACAGAACCTTTAGGACGCCCAGGCTGTAGAGAAGAAGAAGAATTTAGTCATTACAATAGAGCAACCTGCAATTATATAGTTTAAATCACCACATACAGTGGTGTGAAAGAGTTTGCCTCCTTACTGATTTCTTATTTTTTGCAGGTTTGTCACACTTTTAGGTTTTAGATAATCAAACAAAATGTAAATATTAGTCAAAGATAACAAGTAATCCATTCAGTTTTGAAATTAGGATAATTAATATTCAGGAAAAACTAAATAAAAATCAGTGAGGAGGCAAATACTTTTTCCACACCAGCGTGGTTTAAAATGAGACTTACCTGAGAGGCTGTTTTTGGTGTCGAGGCCTGATTATCTGCAACAGAAAAAAATAAAACAAGATTACATTATGGAATAAAAATACTGAAGAATAAATAAAACTATACCTTACTTTATAATAAAAGTAGTCAAATGTGCTAGAAAATGTATACTAAAACACAAGTCAAATAAGCTTACAAAGCACTTAAATAAATAAAATGGGGCAATGTATCCAAATGTGTCCGGATTATGCAACGAAACGGTGATTACAAGAAGAACAACTGAAAGAGGCAGCAGCAATAATTGTAATAATTGCAATAATAATTAATGAAAACCTAACAGTTTTTTGAAAAATATTTAATTAATTCCATGATTTAAATTTTATCTTTGAAATCTGTAATCCTTCCTAGGCCAAAAAAAACCCCAGCAAAATAACAAACACACACACACACACACACACACTTTACACAAAACATTTTCTCATACCGGTCTTAGAAGCCAATGCCGAAGCCGATGGTGAACCAGCCGCAGCTGCTGCTGATCCTGTTGCTGCAGGTCCTGTGGTTCCAGGAGAAGCGGCTGCTGTCGAGACTCCCACAACAGCGGCACACTGTGTAGGCGTTCGGGCAGTTGTCACAGATATCCCTGTGTTGGGTGAACTAACAGTCCCTGTGCCACCCGGATACACAGCCCTTGCTAATGACACTGCTGGAGCTGAAGAAGTGGCGGATGAAACATTGCCTGCTGTCTTCTGAAGCATGAAGGTGGTAGCAGGTGTAGTCGTCTTTGCTTTATTAATGTTACTAACCGTTGATAATGACGACACCGGTATCAAACCAACTCCACCGGCAGCATTAACTAGCGCCCCGCTTTGCCCATTGGCCATGGCTAAAGGCAGCTGAATTAAAAGTTGCTGCATGGCCACCGGTTGACCCCCTGATGTTGCTGGGGCGTTGGTCATAACTGTTGGATTTGGACCAGTCTTTAGTAGTAGGGTGCCAGTCTGGGACTGACCAGGCAAAGAGGTGGATGAAGGAGTGGAGCTTGTGGTTGTGGAGATGATCTGAAGAATTGGCGCAGTGGTAGCCAGAGCAGAGGAAGTTGGCGTAGCCGGCGTGGACAGAGGTTTGGGCTGGGCTGGGACCGCTAAGGGGGAGAAAAAAAAAGTTTTAGAGTTTTGAAATCAAAGATAGATTTATTAAAGTCAGTCAAAGCTTTTCAGAAAGCTCACCAGTTGAGTTAGAGACAGTAGGTGAACTGGACAATTTGGAATCCACTGTGGTTTTAACAGTACTGTAAAAGAATAGAAATATGATTACTGAAACTTTTACATCATTTGGGTAAAACAAAATGCACATTTAAGGCCATGTCCACACCTATATGATATTTTTATAAATAAAGTTATCCCGCTTTTCTTTTCTATCACCACCTGTTGGTATCGTATGCCCTTAACAGTGCATCACAGTGCGTTTTTGCATTTTCCCGTAAACGTTTGCTTAAGCCTTTTGTGCCGAGTTCACACCAAATGCGAGTAAATTACATATACGTTTCCATCTGAAATAATCGTTGCATTGGCACGAACGATCTAAGATATACAGCACTTTAATAAAACAGTATTGGTTAATCTAAAATAATGAAACAGCAAACACGCTGACGTAATAAGAAAAGAAAAACTTTTAGACGACCACACAGTAACTAACCAGTTTCTAAAAATCTCCACCCTGGATTTTTTTAGAAAGTTTCTCTTTCAGTCATGTTTTCATGTAGACAAAAGGTTAAAAACAAAACTAAGGTTTTGAAAATGTGTTAATGTGGACAGGGCCTTAGATTAATCATAACAACCAAGAGTAGAGTTTGACATTGTCAGTTTTGTTTACCGTTGTGGTGTAGTCGCGTTGGTTGCATTGTTGGCTTGAGCAGCAGCAGCGGCAGCTTGAGCCTGAATAATGAGAAGCAAAATGAATCAATCTTAAAAGTGAACTAAACTTACTTTCAAAAGCTCATTTTGTCTGCAACTAATATCTGAAAATATAAATTATATATAGAAATAACTAAGTTCTGTACCATTTAACACCAAAACACAAAAGAACTAGAACGGAATAAAAATAGCTTACGCAGTGATTCCCACACACTTACATCTTGAGTTCTCTTCGCATTCTCCGAAGCCTGATTAGCAGCACCAAACTTTTTGGCTAGCCGGGAAATCTTAGCCTAAAATCAATTCAGAGTTTCATTAATGTATGATAAAACTGTTAAAAGATGCATATGTATACTGCACTGTCATTAAAAGAATCCAAAGAGAGACCCAGTTTTTATTGAATGTTCAATGGCAATACATCAGCATACAATGACACTTCTCTTAATGGTGAAAACTTCCAAACTCACCTGTAGTGTATTAATATGCTGAAGAGCATTCTGTTGTTTGGTTACATTGTCGATCTTCTCCACCCTGTCTTTCAGCTCTTTTAAGCTTCTGTCAAATACAGTCAACTGCAGGACCCGTAACCGTTCCTCGACTAACTGCTGCACCATCTAATGGGGAAGGAGACAGAAAATGAATACGCATGTTATTTCTGACAGTCTATAATTTAATTCCATATCAATTTCTTTCAGCACTCTTTTCTCAAAACAATTTCCAAAATTCTACCTAACATCCGTAATTAATAGGTTAGCCCAGACTAATCCAAATTGAAACAGGAGAACCAAAGAGATTTACTCATGTGAATCCATCAATGTTAATAACAGAATAAACAGTTTTAGATTCATAATCTAAGATTAAACTGCTTGATTTTATTTTGTTGTCTAGTAAATAACTGAATCCTGAAAATTTTGGTCACAAAGCCTTTAAAATAAAGTGCATCGTTGGTGTTCCACAGAAGAAATAAAAGCGTAAAGGTTTAGATTAAAATGATTGTGGCCAATTTATTACAGAAAATTTGTGAACTTTCCCTTAAACAATAAATAATAACAAACCTTCTCTATTTTGTCCCGGTTTCCACCGTTGGCTGTGATTTTCAGCTCCAGCTGAGCCTCCAGCTCCTCACCCTCCAGCCTTGCTCGTTTCCCATCTCTCTCCTCCTCGATTTCTTTATCATCTTCATCTTTCTCCTCGGACAATGTTCTCTTTAGACCAACAGGGGCACTGTTGTCTGCTGATAAATGGAGGTAGAGTTTAGCCTTAAAAGGCAATGCCTACAACTTATATTGTTAAACTATCTATTGTTACTAGTGTAATGTTAGCTCAAAGGTTAAACTTCATACAAGCTCTAAAACAAATGCCAGCAGCAATTATAGGAAACTGAAAACAGTTGGGTTATTTTAAAACTTAGAGTAAGCTTAAAGGAAAGTTCAACCAAAAATATTTATCATTTTCACATCTACATTTTGTCAAATCGATATTTTTGTCCATGTTTGGTCAGAAGCCATTTCGGACATTTATCAAAAAAATCTCGAACAAGCTTGTCAAATATCCGACAACTGTTCTCGTTCTTTCTTTGTAAACAATTCCTTTAGATATTCAGTTTGCTAACAAAAAATGATAATTCTGTCAAATTGGAGAAACAGAATTGTTGATCTTTAATTGTTTGAAAGTCCATCGTAGAGGTTGTAAACAAAACCTCATATTTTTTCAATCTCTGTAATGAAACTCTATCGAGAAGCCCTGTCAACCTCTAATGTCAGGGTGGTTGGATGTCCTCACCTTCTGCATTCTCAGGTGTATCAGTATCTTTTTCATCCTTTTCCTCTTTTTGGTCTTCAGTCTCAGCATCTACATTCATCTTCTCCTCACTACTGTCTTTTTCATCTTTGTCTGCTTGGGTCTCATCTTCTTCGCTCAAGCACAGAAATCCTTCTTTAACCTCTGGGTCACAGTTCAACCCAGCAGGAGAAGCAGAAGGTGAAGAGGATGAACTTTTATTGCTTGTCTCCTTTTTCTCCTCGGTGGCCACAAGGGGGTCTTCCAAATCCATCGCAGGTGAGGTAGTCTGTGTGTTGGGTGGAGAGGGCGATCGAGAGACTGGGAAGGATGGAGATGGGGAACAGCGAGCTGAATCTGTGGCAGGTGCCATCAGGTCACCCTCCTTATTATTCAAGTCTTTCTCCGTCTCGGTATGAGTGCCGTTCATCAGAGGTGTCTGAGGTGGAGAGGAAGATAAGCTGGAGTTGGTGGTTGCCAGGGTGTTGTGCAGCACTTCCAATTGCTGTCGATCACTCATCTTCATAGTTTTCCGTGCGCGAAAGATTTTCTTTTGAGGTTCCTCAGGTACAGCTACTTCCATTTTCACCTGTGAAAAAAAAATACAGAAGAATATGTCAAAACAAATGCTAGATCCCAGGCTAGTTAGCTAAACTATGTGTGGTACTCAACAAGTCTGATTAATCTAACCAAGTAGAAATGTCTTTACAGGGGAGTGACCACAAGGTGTCACTGTCACTTATCTAAAAGATATTACTTGCTGTTCTAGAATTCTCTCTTCCCCTTGATCACAAAGACATTCTTTAACTGTAGCAGAGCTAACCTTAACCCTAGATTTAGCCTGTTTTTTGTTTTAGGTGGAGGTCCAGCCACAGTAAAAGTACTACAGTACTGTTTAGGTCTGTTTACCTACATTTTCAGTCTGAGCAGAAACACCTTCCCGATAAACAAGATAAATAAATAAATAAAAAACAACAACTGTAATCTAATGTGAAAGCAGCTTAACCTGACAAAAACCTTCCTCAATTCAACTGAACATAACTAGTGTGTTGGTAAGGCCACAACAGCAGTGCATCTGATTTCAGACTACAGAGAGAAAGAGAGAGAGTGCAGACTTTGTTTCCTCCCCCTCAATGCGATTGGTGCAATTCTTAACCAGTAAGAACAGAAGACTACAGAATCTGCTAGCGACAAGTAGAGTTCATTATATAATGCAGGTTTCAAAAGTTACCATCGTACTTAAATTAAACCAGTACTTCTGTGCATCACAAACACACATTAGTTTATCTTACCAGGCTAGGATGTCTCGAACTGTCCTGTTCATGGATTTGGCAGGCAGTCGCTTGAGGATCCTAAAAAGAAAAAGTCAAATTTAAAAATAGTTTTGCACATATTAAAACTAATTACTGATAAATTACGCATTTGTGTTTATCCAATAAGTCTACAATTCAAAACCAGACAAGTGTTTCCATTTTTCTGTGAAGCAAAACTCTCTCATGTTTTAATAAATAAGTTGCTCTCAAAATGTTACATAATGATAACCCAGAATTTATAACCACAGATGAGTACTGAAATATTCTCCGCTTGTTTATCTAGTAAACACACTTTAATGGTTCTATCTTTATGGATTACTAATCCATGTTAAATCTGTAGCGCAAATGTTATGACAGATGATACATTGAATTCGATTCAAAGAAAAAAAAATTGTCTACATAGAGAACAAAGTAACTTCAGATTAAGCAGTGAATGAAAACACTGGTTCAACAGAATTCAAAAACTAATTTAAATTCTTATCTCATCCTAAAATATGTGAACTATATCAATTGAATACTAAAACTGTGCCATCTAAAAAGACTACGAAGTATTGAAACAATTGTGGTTCAACATGGTTATCTGTCAGCACTAATATTTTCTTAAATAGTACAAAGAATAGCCACCTTGATAGTTCTTTAAAAACTCAGTCTGATCCAGGAAAAAACAGTAAAGTTTCAAAATACTAATACCTTCAAAACATCTTTCTGGATCTAAACAACTAATCTGTTTATTCTAAAGCATCGCATCTGCTTTACTGTAGTTATTCTTTCTTTACTACACATCCCATATAAATATCTTGCCAAGATCTGAAAGCAAAAATCCACAGGGCACCACATCGCTGCTGCACTGCTGCATTAAAAACCATCTTGGCAGGTGTGAATGACGTGGCTTCTATATATACCTAATTGTCATCCCTATAGACAATCTGCACCACTTTAAACTTCCTGTCAACATCCATTTATCCAAAGTCTGTTCTCCATGTCAACCCCCTAAAAAAGGATTTTAATTTTACTGTAGGTTCAACTACACCTTTATCAAACTGTCCTTTCGAAACACTGAACCATCACCACAAACTGCTGAGTTAGGAACAAGTAAACTAGGCACAAAGGGAAAGTATAAAGCTGATGAGAGCTAGCAAATAGAGGTGCCGTTAGAAACTCATAAGGAAAACTAAAAAACATGGTTATATTCTAATGTCATCAACCCAAAAAGAACAGACATGTGCCTCTGCATTGCTCCATGTCCCCAGGTCAATGTTCACAGAAAGAAAATTGAGCTAACAAAAATGGCTGCCAGCCTGTAGGAAGCTTGTTCTTCTAGGCTGTTCACCGCGCAGAGCCTCACTCTGGCCCTCCCCCACCCTGACTGTAATCATAGACGCTGAGGTTGCCGCTCTTTTGCAAAATGGTCGCCAGAGCTGCCGTGTAAAGCCAGGCGCAGTTCTACAACACTCCTCCTGTGCCTTACTCCTCCACACTGTCTAACCTACTCTAACAGACTGTGCTCCCTTTGAATCCAAGCTGATGTGAACAGCATCCCAGGGTAAAATCTTGCGCATTGCGAGAAAAAAAAAAAGGTTCGTAAAATAACCAAGCGCTATTCCGTCGCGAAAATCGCTACCTGCTGGAAGTTGCATGGTAGGCAGAGTAAAAAAAACTTTTTTAAAAAAAATTTTTTTTAAAAATAAAAATCGAACATTCGAAGACCTAAATACAAAAATATTGCAAAAAAAAAAAAAAAAAAAAATTTTAAAATCAGGCTGGTCAGCCTTTTCTGAAGCAAAACTAAGAGGATTAACTGATAAAAAAATAGAGTCCAATGACAAATAAACAATTCCAAATCACGCAAAGAGGCAAAAATAAAACGTTGCGAAAAAAAAAACGATGATGTCGACAAGAAAACAAAAACATGAGAATCTCCACTAAAACAAATCTCATGTCAAAAAGCCCATTCATCTTGTGCCTGTACAACCTTAAGAATCTAAATTTTCTTTAACAAGAATCAAGTCTTCGAGTAACAAAACGTGTCAAAAACCACCTTGGGCTGAAGTCTTCAAGAGTAGGCCTTGATTAGTAGCGAGCGCAAAAACAGGAGCATGCCTAGTGTCCAACTAGCTCAAAGCGCACACAACACAGAAAAGAGGAACAGAGAGAGACAGAGAGAACGGGAGGGGGAAGGGATCACATGTGGAGAGGCGGAGCACATTCTTTGTAAGGTGTTGGCTGTAACTAGAATAGAAAAACAGTGTAGCTACACACAATTGTAGCGTTACAACCAACAGAACAGCGTCATATGAAACAAAAGACAATTTTTGGACTCATGAGGAGACTGTGTGAGGATTCATCAACTCTCAGACTGCTGCTCACTGTTTGACCAGTGAAATGCTTTAGCATATATATATATTTTTAAAAGGGTGTTACAAAACAAAGCATTCATCCAAACATCTTCATAAAAGAGATGTTAATAAAGAATAAACAGAAAGAAAACTGCAGCAGGAATGAAAGAAAAAAAATGCCATGTGCTGGAAAGCAAAAACAGACCCCTCCCCCACTGCTGCAGGCACAGAGAAAACAGGGTGGAAAAGTACTGCGATGTGGATTGTACCATTTCAACACAGAAGGGGATTCTCTTGTGCACCGCTCTGTGTCAACACAAGAGGGAGCACAAAAGTGAATCTGCTCTGCATTTAAAAAAAAATACTGCAAGAGAAATCAAATTTTCTTCATGTTATTTTTTCAGCGCATTTCTCCAATAGTCATTAACGTGCATCCCTATGCAGCACAAACATCTTCTGACTGTAGTTTTGCTATTGCACAGCAGCAGGTTTGTAACAAGGTTAAAGTTCAAACTCCTGCCGTTTACAAACTGTAATGACTGTTGTGAGCTGCGATTGCCTCTGTATGATGGCAGGCATATTTAATCGCTTCAGATGAAGTAATTCTTTAGCTCATCAACTTTTTATACCGCTTTGTAATAATTTATTATTAACTTTCATGTGTCTGTGTGTGTGTGTGTGTGTGTGTGTGTGTGTGTGTGTGTGTGTAGTTAAATGGCTAAGAAATTGTTAAGTGTAATTAAATTGCTTGTGTTTTCTTGTGAGTTATTAAAGGAGAAATGAGTCCCTAATATTCCAGTCACTGTTTTTTTTTTTTTTTTTTTTTGGGAGAGGGTCATTTAAAAAGTGGGTCATTCTGAAAGTCAGCCAAAATGTCACTTGGCATCTATAATGTTGGGTATTTTATAAGCGCTGTAAAACTATGTTGTCCATATAGGCAGTCCTTGTTCTAATTCACCTAAACATTTTTCAATGTCATCCTCTCGATCCTTTTCTGTCATGTCTCAACATGTGACAGAAAGACATAATCTAAATTCAGTACATTAAAACCACTCAAAAGCCTACCTAAAGCAAAAATATTCAAGATTAGATAGCTGATATCTCTATAAAACTACATATTTGCACATATTTCGTCAAAGCAAGATGGCATTTATGTCGTAACTGATAAAGTTCTTGCAGACAGTAAATACCGTTTTCATATACTCACAGTGTCCTAACCAGACATGACCAAAGCGCACATTAATCTGCGCTTTGGTCCTAGCTATGACAAGCTACGGCACTGCATATTGCTCTGTCAGCTTTCCATTTCTGTACATCAGGTAGTTCCGCCCATTTACAGATACATCTAATATAACGAATCCCTCAGTCTCTTCAAGATTATTACGAAATACATTGTCTAGATGTCATCATGAAAACAAATTCACTTTCAAATATTAGCAATATCCAGCAGTACTGCGCAAACACGCAGAGTGCAAGAGAATGTGGAAACCATGAGAACCACACACACACTAATCTGATTACATGTGATTTTGTTGCATTGCGTGGCATATTCACTTTCAGAGTGAACAATGAAATAGTTGCACTGCATCTGTTTTACACACATCTGCCTAGCAGCACTGCACTCGATGTCACTATTGTGCTAGCATAATCCACAATCAATATGTGCCTAGATACACAATAAAATCAATCAACAATTCTCAGGTGCATCCCTTGATCAGAAGAGATTTTTATTGCTTAAGATATAAAATAAATAGTTGTATTCTTCAATTTGTTTCTGTACACATCCTTTTTTTTAAACGGTGGAAGGCCGATGGTCAAGGTCAGCCGAGCAACATGCTTCTAGCCTGAATTATTTGAATATTTCCATGTACAGAAAGCATTGGCTTCTCATAACGTACGGTCCCATTGGAATAAAATAAAAAAATATGAGCATAATACGGCATCTCTAATGAAACCAATAAAGAGACTGTGTGCCATGAGGGTGCAAAAATGACATTCATTCACTCTGCTGTTTTCATTGCTCTCTGTTGTTTCGGCTAGATTTAGTTTTGAGTCACTTGGCTGTTTCTATTGCAGTTTATATTAGATTTTTTTATGTCCCCAGTAAAAATATTTTCTAAATGACCTGTAGGACCAATGTATTGTCAAAATGTCATTATCGAATTAGTTTGTCAACAAGGCGGCAAACCGATCCATAGATTCTCAGTGTAAAGAATAGAAACAGAATAAGAACTAATACGGAAGAGGATAAATAAACAAGTTGGTGGGAATAAAAAAGTACCACAACTCTCATTTACACAATTTGCTAAGTTTACTTTGGGCTATACAAACATTTTTGTTTTTCCTTTGCCTCAGTAGAAACCAGAATCACTTAAACAACGATTCACATTATGTTAAAGCAAGAAGATAGAATGAAGCACAAATACAAACGCAGATGTCCAGTAAAAATATTAGTAACACAACTGTGTAGGTCACTTCCCCACACAACAAATTACATATATCCTGCTTTCCTCTACAAGCTACTATAAGGAGTCAGCTAATAACAGACAACAGGCTGAAACTAGTTGAGACAAGTTTACATCTCACAGATCTCATGCATAAAAAAACTAAACAAAAACACTTGAGAGGATTCTGGTGAAGCGATCATCCTGGAGTCACGCCATCAAATTAAAATTAACAAATCATGTTAATTTTCTTTATGAA